AAGACAAAGACACAGCCAAGTGGTGCTGCTTTTAATATCTCAGAGCTAGCTGTAGGGATCCAATTATTTTCAGTTTGGATACATTTCCCCTTTATCAATATCTCCATGTGCATAAATAAGATGAAAGTGGAGTTCCGGAATCAAAAAGAGACGGAACTCACATCACTGGGCAGACTTGTTCCATCTGGAAGTGTGCGGCCAGTGTCTCCCACGCGCATTTCTGATGTCGGGCCCAAAATCTTCCTATGGAAGGCGACATCTTTTTATAGGTTAAAGACAAGAAGGGAGTTTAGGCACGGCGGTGAACTTACAATGGGGGGAAGAAAAAGAAAAAGGACGCTAAAAAAGGGAAAGGAGTGCATACTAAATCAGCAAACTCCGTTCCCTTCCAACTGGCATCAAAGAGGTAATGGGTGACTTCAGTTGCGCTCAGACCTTCTCTCAAGAGCTATTTCAACGGAATTGAAAACACTGTTCTCCACTTCCAGGTTCCTTTGATTACCTGGCCCAAATCAGCAGGCTCGCAAGCCACCATGTAAACAGGCTACCAGCACTGAAATGCAAATAGCAGCAAGTCCCTGCTGGGCCTTGGGGGCCAAATGCCTTGACACCCAGACACAAAGATGGAGATGCAGTGCCACGCAGAGCACGGCTTCTGCCAAGGGGAACGCGGCACCAGAGGGGTCTGCTCCGTCCTGCCAGGAAATCACTTGCACTGCAGCCAATCCCAAATGCTTCTAAGTGCAACGGGGACAGCAATAAAGAAGAACGGGCCAGGGTGCTGCCTGGCAGCCACGGGAACACCGCTGTGCAGCAGCGAGGGAGAGAGGGCGTGCGGATGGGTTCACCGAGACGGCTTTGCTGCTGCAGCAAACGTCAAAGCCCCAGTTTCACTCGTGAACACATGAGGAGTTCCAAGCCCCCGAAGTAAAAAGAGCACCTGACATGTGTTCTGTGATGAGTCCCTGCTTTGACTCATGCACTCACTCAGTCATTCATTCATTCAGGAGACATTCACTCGACTGTTTTAACATCACCTCTGAGCTTATTACTCTTGCCTTTGAAAGGGTCACCCATCAGCTTGGCAACTTCTCCCTACAGTAATACCATGTGCCCCTAACATTGGAACCCGGAGCCCTGCCTGCCTGGCGGACCTCGGCCCAGCTGCTCCGTGCCCTACAACGTGCTATGTTATGGCACTGCACAGACACACAAACCGGGTGTCAGGAAGTCCTGTCCTACCAACAGCTGACTGCTCCCTTCTGAAACCCCTAAAACCTAGTCAGTGTGGTCTACTGTGACCACTTGACCACTTCAGCATCCCCACTTAAAATCAATATTTTAAGTGTGTGCTTAAATGGCATCAATAGCAATTAGAGAGGGGAATTCTGATTCTACCCCAGATGTAGTTAATTGTTGTGGCATTGATCTGCTCTCTAACATACTTCTTTCTACAAATTAAACCCCCATTACAGAGGGAGACGAAGGGCGTCCTCTCCCCTCCTGTGACAATAAATTTAATATCGAATGCACTGGGAAAAAATGGCAGTTGTTGCAGAATCCATCCAAAAAGATTTTTTTTTTTTCTTCCTGGGAGTAATTAAAAGATGCTTTTCTTGACTAATGATTCCCCTGTTTAGGAATGGGAAGTCAATACTGATTCAGCCGCCGTCAGCTTCGATTGATCACGATGCTGCTCAAGTTTGAACGGCAGTTCTCAGGGCGGCAGAGATTCACTGGAACCAATTATAAGCTGTCTGAAGCTGCCCTAATCAGGGGTGTAGGGACATGGAAGAGGCCAGCTGTCCCGGGCGCCTGCTGTCCTAACTGGCCGCATGTCTAGTTGACTCTAGTGTGTGGGGGTTTCTCTGGAGGAAGATCTGTGTGTTCTACTTCCCTCATGGTCTTGAATCTGTACGTGTGTGTGTGTGTGTGTGTGTGCGTGCGTGCGTGCGTGCGTGTGTGTGTGTTTGGGGGTGGGGGCAGGCGGAACGACGCATTTCTAATTATATTCCACTGTCAGAATGAATCTTCTGAACAAGATGGAATGGACCAGAGCTCCTCGGGAAAACAGATGGGCCCTTTTTCAAAGAATTACGCCGAATATATTGCACGTGGCTTTTCCTTCAACAGAGATAAAAAATTAAAATATTTCTTTTTGGTTTTATCTCAGGGCCACATTAAAATAACCTTCCAACTGTTTCTATGAACAATCGTAGGTTCTGCAGAGACCAGGAGTGGTGGAGTGGGGCAGGGGGAGCAGGGGTGTCTTGGAAAGGCAGCATCTTCCCACATCATGGACAGAACTGCGAGTGGAGATTCCCGCCCTGACGTTCAGTTTTGCATTTCGGGTGAGGGGTAGTGCAATTGGCGGTGAAGGTGGCTGGTGTCTACATTTCAACTCTGCTATTGGGCTGGTTGTGTTTTGCTTTGGACAGTGTAGCTAAGGCTTTACGCATGGCCATCAGGGCCCTGGCCTTCCAGCTGGAAGGGACAGAGACCTTGCTGGCTGCCTTTAGTCCTCTTGGGAACAGGTGGGACACACAGAACCCATGAACAGATAAACCCCTTCCCTCTCCCCTACCCCCAGAGTTCCCAGCCCTGGCTCAGAGACCCTCCCTGCTTCTGCTCTTTGGGCCTCCTCCATCCCCACTCCTCCTCATTCATGGGAGGTTCCTGTCCCGTGGTGATAGACTTGCCAATATGCACACCTTCCCAGGGCCGTGTGGAGCCTGCATCAACCGAGGACGCTCCCACCCTCCAGCCTACTTCCCACCTGGCCCCTGGCCCTGGCCCTGGCCCTGGGAATCACCCTGTTTCAGAGTCCAGCTCAGATGCCATTTTTGAGGTGACACTTCCCAAATCGCACCTACTGCCGGCACCCTCCCGAGCCCTGGCATCCTCAGGGGACCTGAGAATGTTCACCAATCACTGGCGAGCTGCAGTCATCACTTACGGTTTCTTTTCTATGAGAAAGTGCTCAATGATTATTTGCGGATTTTCGTTGAAAACAAAACTCCCCAGGAAAATTACTACAGGCACAAAGAAACATTCAGTTCTCATATGTGTTTATCTTCTTAGGCGCAAAGGGCATTTAGAAATTCCAGAGTTACCTTTAGCCACGGCAGGGAGCTACGTCACCAACACCACAGTCTTGGAGAGGAACTACAACTTCGCACTGCTCTTTAAGGAAAGCCAGTGTGACCAAAGAAAAGACGGGACTTAACTGCCACCACCGCGCTTGTGAGAAAGCAAGTCTCTGAAATCGTCTCTAAAATATGATGATATGATGCATATAACACTGGGAAAAGAAGATTGAGCTGTACATTCAAGAACTTAATTCAGGGACCCAAATGAGAACTATAAAATACCTATGCACAGGCAGTCTTCATATACAAATGAAGATGAAGTCATATTTTTCAGTTAAAAATGATCCTATATCTTTGTTTCTAATAATTCTAAGTAGTTTCTAAATTTTAATGGATGCATAAACTTTTCTAATAATTCATGATATTAAAACTAGTATGCTGCTTCTACCTATAAACAGTAAGTGCATACAGTTAGTTTTTTCCAGCTTATTTCAATGTTTTCACATTCATACATTAAACTCAACCCAATTTCCAATCACTGTTCATTTTCAGACCCAACTTTCCTCCAATGTTATATCTATGACAAAAACCAGATATTAAAGCATGAATTAATCTTTTAAGCATGTTCACAGTTGATGACCCAGCTGATTTCTATGGTAGTGTTAAAAAAATCGAGAAAAATAATTTTTAAAGTGCCTAATTTCTTCAGTTCGTAAGAAACTTACGCACGTTTACACTATAACTCACAAAGCGCTCCTGTATCAAAACCATGCAGTTTTAAACAACTACCTCCTTTGTGCCTTTCCTGTCCCCCACACTACACAAAATCCCAAATATGGAGACCAAGATGAATAACACACCAGCTTCATTCTCTCCAGTGAGCCAAAGGTGGCACCACAAATTCATTTTTCAGTGCTAATGAATTGAAGTCCACCAGCCCTTCTCACGTTATGACTGCTCAGCAGAAGCCGGTTTCTGTGGCTGAACCACAGATTACCACTTGAACTTTCATTTTATCTGATCAGCAGCAAAACAAATCAGAGGAACCTCAAGAGTACCAGCAAGGGGGGACCTCTCCTCTCCCTTCATCTCTTTAGACACCTGACAGGCAAACAGTGAGAGCGAACCTCAAACCCCGTCCTCCTACGAGGGGGAATCACACAGCACCTGAGCGACGCTGGAAGCCACTTGCTTTCGGCAAGTACTGAGATGCCACGCTCCAGTCTGCCTCCATGCCACATGCCTTCTCAGAAGACATGCCATTTTATCACCTCTTAGGAACATTAAATATGCATGTGTACTCAAAAACGGTTTATAATAGCTGTAAATGAAAAATGAGAAACTAAATGGCCTCAAAATAAATGCGTTTTTTACACTGGGTAACAATTAACATTAATGAGAAGTTACACCATACATTATGCTAAACTTGGTTGACTATATATGTTAGAAATATATTTTAGAAAATAAAATATATTTTGTTAACATAAAAATAACTTTTATGTGTGTGTGGGGCAGCGGGGTGGGGGGGACTGACACAGCAGATGCTTATCAAAGATAAAAGAATAACAAAATGAAAGAATCAAACATTCATAATTAGTGTTAACAGCACAGCTTATGCCTATTAGAAATGTATTAATTAAAGTAATATATTCATAAGGTTAGAGGCTTAATACATTTCTAGGAGGGGGAGAGAAGTCTCCAAGGCTCAAAAACCAACATAAAAAATTAAGGGGTGTGAATTATCCACATCTGCTTAAGACCAACTTGAAACACAGACATTCCTGTGCCGGATGAATGGAAATTCCTACAGGCTGTCAGGGTCTTCCCAGCTGTGGCTGTCATGACGATCACTTCCAGTTGCCTAACAATGGGCACACATGTCTGGAGCCACGCATCTACCCCACTTCCTACCTTGTGGAGTCTACGGAGGGCTTCGTCCGCCCCTGGCTGCCCTCTTCCCAGACGCTGTTGGCTAGCTCGTTCCCGATGGACGACATCACCTTGATGAGCTCGACTGGCCAGTCATCTAGGTCCAGAGATCGCACTCGGGAAAGGTGGGTGCCAAGATTCCGGTGGATCCCTGAGCACTCGATGCACATGAGGGCTCCCAAGTTCAAACTGGCCCAGTTAGGATCTGGGGGAAGAGGAAGAGAATGCTAAACGCAACCAGACATCATCTCTCGTTCCAAGTGTTCTTGGAAGCATGAGGCCGCGCATCAGGCAAACTTCACAGCAACAGACTCTTCCTAGAATCACATCCGCGGCTTGAAAATGCTCCTGAGCCAGGGCCCAGGCCTGTTTTAGGTGTCTCAAATGCCTGGCAGTGGGTAGCAGCTTCAGAACACATTTGGCTTAAGCCAAAGGCTTGGGATTTCTCACGCAATCAAGAACTGAAAGCGCTGGTTTGGATAGAAAAGATGCCCTTTCCCGTAGGTCACAGCAGCATTCACCTTGAGGGGTCTGACCCGTGTGGGAAAAACACGTGTCTCTCGGCATCCACTGTGGCCAGCTGCTGCCGAGACGGAAGGAAGAGTGGTGCTGAGGGGCAGCTGGGGGACACCGTGACTCTGATCAGTCCCTCACTGCCACCTCTGTAGCCACCGGCATATCAGAGTCTACAGTAGGTACACAACGGGCATGCTTGCAAATTTCAAAGAGGAGGGAGAAAGTACATGACAGTGAAGAAAGATCGTTTTCAGTTATCTTATTTAACTACAGCTGCTGCAGCGACTGCTCTGCAGGCAAGTTGGTAGGCAGGGGTCTTTGGTGAGGTTCACGCAGCGCAACCAGTGCTGACTTGCGGAATGAATGGTGATGCCTGTCAAACTAGGCCAAGCACTAGTGCCAGGATTGTGCAGGACAACCAACCAGTTCAGACGGCAGCACTGGGACCCCAGAGCCGGATCACTCACTGCGTGAAGCTGGCTGGCATCATCAGAAGACCAGGAAATCAGGCCGGGGTTGACTTAATGCTAGACTCTACAGCTGATTGGAAGAGATAGGGTTGACCTTGACAGTCAACGACTTTCACCACTGTACATGGATACAGCTTACTCACCTGGGAATAGGCAATGTTTGCTCTGGGCATACTTGAAGAGTCAACAAAAGACCAGGTAGCTCAGGTCACATTTGACTCACTGGGGAGATAGCCTTTGTTTTATAAACAGCAAGTGACCAGCAATAGCCTTACGCAAGTTGATCAGAAGTCAGAAAACCACCCATTTAACAGGAAGGTGGCGATAGATACCACCAGACATGCAGGAAGAGGCCAGGTGCAGTGTCTCACACCTGTAATCCCAGCACTTTGGGAGGCCAAAGCGGGTGGATCACCTGAGGTCAGGAGTTTGAGACCAACCTGGCCAGCATGGTGAAATCCCGTCTCTACAAAATTACAAAAAATTAGCCAGACATGGTGGCGGGTGCCTGTAATCCCAGCTACTTGGGAGGCTGAGGCAGGAGAATCGCTTGAACTCGAGGCAGAGGTTGCAGTGAGCTGAGATGGTGCTACTGCTCTCCAGTCTAGGCAACAAAGCAAGACTCCTTCTCAAAAAACCAAAGAAAGAAATCTGAGAGGTCTCTGACCTCAGAGAGGTTCCGACTGGGAAGGGGAAGCTTATATATCAAATGGAAAAAACAAACAAACAAACAAAAAACCAAGCAGAAGAGAACAGAGACATCCAGAGACTCAGTGCTGAAAAACGCAGTCCGCACCAATGAGCAGGTGGCAGGGGAAGGAAGAGGGCAGCGGGGACAGGAAGGATAGCCACATGGAAGAGGCCCTGGCCTGGGGATGTGGAGGGTGGAGATGTGGCACACAGCTGGCGTGGACCCCTCCTCGCTGTGGCTCTCCCTTTGTGCCCCCACAGCCTACCTCCCCGCTGGCCCCCTCTGCTTAGAGACAGGTAAGGCTGGGGCTGACTGAGGGCAGGGCCTCGCCTCCGCTCCAGCAGAGTAGAATGACTCATCAGCAAGGGTTAGTATCTGAGCATCATCACTGCCATTTCCTTGGAAGACATCTTAAAGCCAGCTGGGACGCTGTGCTGTCTCGGCCGGGTGGAGAAGCTCGGCCTGTGGCTGATCCCAGCCTCCTGGCCTGGCCTCAGACCTCGGAGCTCTACTGCCCCCGACCTGGCTTCAGGTACTGCTTTCAGGCGTGGTGGCCCCACAGCCCCAGGCCTGCCCTGCTTGCTTTCCAGGTCCCCACACCTCTGTACGTGCCCCCTGCCAGCACAGCCTTTCCACCTTTGTCCTCTGCAAGCCTCTCGCCCTCCAGCCTCAGCTCGCCTCCTGAGAAATGAGGCTAATAATTTCCCTCAAGGAGCTGACGGAAGGATTAAAAGCTATGAGGCACTTAGCGCGGTGACTGCCCCATAGGAAGCACAGTGTTAGGTGTTGGCTGTAATTACATCTGTTCCTTCACGTATTCAACCAGTATTAACACACTAGCTTCTGGGGATACGGCAGTGAACAAAACGGAGAAAAATCCCTGCTCACAGAAATGTAGGACACAGAGTCTACGGGGACAGACCAACCAGGAAGTAATAAAAAAACCTGGCCCGGCACGGTGGCTCACGTCTATAATCCCAGCACTTGGGGAGGCCAATGGGGGAGGATCACCCAAGGCCTGGAGTTTAAGACCAGCCTGGGCAACATAGGAGACTACATCTCTACAAAAATTATAAAAATCGGCCAGATGTGGTGGCATGCATCTGCAGTCACAGCTACTCAGGAGTCTGAGGTGGGAGGAGCTGGAGTCTGGGAGTTTGAGGCTGCAGTGAGTCATAATTGCCCCGCTGCACTCCATCCCTGGCTATAGACCCTATCTCAACCCACCCGCTGCTCCTGCCCAAACCAGCAGAGAGCTAAGAAAACCGTATGATGTGCCGGACCTAGGAAGCCCCCAGGGCGGGACAGCAGGGAGTAGGGATGTGTGTGTGTGTGATTTCAAACCTGGTGGTCAGGGAAGGCCTAAGAGGCAACAGTGGGCAGAGATCCGAAGCTGCGGGAAGATGGTTCTACTTGTGGGCCAAGCTGGAGGCGGGAGAACCTGGATGTGCTCCTGCCGCAGGCTGTGTGGGGATATCTGGCGGTAGCGGTGGGTGCCAGTCCCCTCCTGTGCATAGGCTTGGAGTCCACAAAGGGAAATAAGACATCAGAAAGGCCCAGGAGAGAGAGGCAGCTGTGAGGTCCACACAGCAGGGTGGGAGAAGGAGGGGGCAGCGCACAGTCAGCTCTGACCAGGGCTTCATGGGAGACATGGATGAGCAGACAGAAATAAGCAGAAAGGTTGGGCTGCCGGGCCAGGTGCGGTGGCTCACTACTGTAATCCCAGCACTTTGGGAGGCCAAGACAGGTGGATCACAAGGTCAGGAGTTCGAGACCAGCCTGACCAACATGGTGAAACCCTGTCTCTTCTAAAAATATAAAAATTAGCCAGGCGTGGTGGTGCATGCCTATAATCCCAGCTACTCAGTAAGGTGAGGCAAGAGAATTACTTGAATCCGAGAGGCGGAGGTTGCAGTGAGCCAAGATTGCACCACTGCACTCCAGCCTGGGACACAGGGAGACTCTGTCTCATAAAAAAGCAAAAAAAGAAGGCTGGGCTGCCTCTCAGGGCCTGTCCATGAAGGTCAGACTTGTTGGTGAGAGCCACTGAGGGTCCCAAGCTCCAGCATTCTCAAAGGCCCTCAGGTAGAGATTCTCTTTGGCATGTTCCTGGCAGAAGGCTGGCAACAGGTGTCCTAAACCCCGACTGTCCGTTGGGTCTGGGACACGCTGAGTTGGGCCGTGCTGAACGCTATCTTCAGGGCAGGACTTCCCGGAAGCACAGGTCACAACTTCCTGGGAGGCAGATGTTAAGTTTCCCAAATTCACTGGCTCTCAGAATCCCTTTAGAGACAGGCACCCCCAAAGCTCCAGAAGCTCAGCGTCCAGTCTGGAAACAGTGTTCTGGGATGTGCTCAGGGTGCAGACAGAGGGGGCTCCTGGTGGTCTAGGGTATTCTCTGCAAGAACCGGGAGCCAGGAAGCTGTTACTACAACTCCAAATTCCACGTTGCACACAAATCCCCAAGCCTCAAAAGACGTACCATTCAGACAAATGGTGCTAACTTTGCAGAGAGAAGGCTTACAGATCTTTCCCCTGAACACCTTAAATATTCCTTAGGTTCATCTAGACTCAATGGCCTACCCCTTTTTCATTTTACAACACACTAGGAAGTTTCTTCATCTTAATTAAGACTTTTTTTTTTTTTTCTCAAGATCAAGTCTCACTCTGTCGCCCAGCCTGGAGTGCAATGACGTGATCTCGGCTCACTGCAACCTCCGCCTCCTGAGTTTAAGCAATTCTCCTGCCTCAGCCTCCCGAGTAGCTGAGATTATGGCGCCCACCATCATGTCTGGCTAATTTTTGTATTTTTAGTAGAGATGGGGTTTCACCATGTTGGGCAGGCTGGTCTCGAACTCCTGACCTCAGGTGACCCACCCACCTCGGCCTCCCAAAGTGCTGGGGTTACAGGGATGAGCCACCATGCCCGGCCTCAATTAAGTCTTTTTCCATGATTTTTAAAGGTAGCTATGGGAAGACATTACCATGAACTGCTCTTCAATTGTTAAACATTTGGGATGCTTAGATTTTTTGCCATACGAAGCACTGTGATGAACATCTGGAAACACAGACCTCTGTGCCCGCCTTGCTCAATCCCAGCGGTTTAGTTCCTGGAGTACACGCTGGAGTCAAGGGCATCCACTCTTCAAAAGCTTTTTAGATACGTTGTCAAAAGGAGGTGTTTATATTTGATTTCTATACGTTGTCAAAAGGAGGTGAAACATAAACACCTCCTTTTGACAATATATCTAAAAAGCTTTTGAAGTGTGGGCACTGTACCTATCCCAGTACTTTCACCAAAATTGGGTGTTTTTACTTAACAAATCCTTGTCTGTGCCACTTGTGCCCTTCATCTGAGCACTTCCAGTCTTCTCAAGGCCCTTGTTCTTGAGAAAACACAGCAGGCTGGCCAAGAGATAGGTCTGAATTCTGCTATGGGATTTGCTATTTCTGTGACCTCATTGGTCACAGAATGACCTAACCCTTCAGGCTCCTCAATTCCTCCCCTTTAAGTGGGGCCCACAGGAGCCCCAAGTATTAGGGTTGCAGGAATGAATAGACAGTGCATGCAAGGGTTTGTCGCGGGCCTGACACAGACCACGCGTTTAGCAAATGCATGCGTGGTACCGCCCCTTTCTCCTGAATTGTCAAACTCTGCCTTGTCCCTCTGTCCCTGTCTACCTGCTCAGGTGGTCTTGCTCCGAACAAACTGGCCCCCATCTCCCCCGCACTGGCCTCCCTTTTGCACCCCCATCTGCACTCACATGCATAAGCTCATCTCAGAAAGGACCTGTGACCTCCAATTTGGCACGTGTCAAACTACTGACATTTTCCTTAATGGATGTTCTCATACTGCTCAGATTTGTGGTTTTAAAAAAAGTTCTTACTTTTAAAACATTTTGATAAAAACACTTCAAATAACTGCTTCTCGCTTCGAACTTCATTTCACCACATGGTTGAAAGTAAAACTTAAAAATTCAAACATAAGGAGATACTTTAAAGGAGTACCTCAACATACCTGGAGAAGAACCCCTTCCCTCACCCGCAGGACGGGATTCATCTCTCCCCTGGCTGCTATGCCGGTGAGGACTCTCAGAGGGGCGCTTCCCCTCCCTTTTGTCTGGAGCAGTCCTGGGCTCCCGTCTCCCTTTGCGGCTGAGCCAACCCTGGCTGGCCTCCTCCCGGCTTTGCCTCTCTATTCCAGTCTATTCAGAATGGTCTGGCCACATCCGTCTCCCCAAGTGCAGCCCAGGGTCCATCTCCTTCCTGCTCTAAAACTCCAATGATGTCCCTCTGCTTACAAATGAAGAACAAAGCTGGACACTTTCACCTAGCACTCACACTCCAATTGGCTTCTACCAGCTTTCCAGCCCAAACAGCACCTCTGATCCTAAAGCGACCCAGAGAAGCTCTCCTCGAGCCGCCCCCTTGCTCGCAGTGATTCCTTCAGTCCCTTCCCTGTACAAGCTCTGCCCATCTCCAGAGCCTCGCTAGCACGGCAGCTCCTGGGTGAGTGGCAAGGCCGCCGTGTGCCCCTAATGGCTCTCCCAGAGCTTAGCTCTGTGGTCAGCAGGTCAGTGCCTTGCCCAGTATGTTTCAGGCTTCAGGATGGCAGGACCCACCACGTCATGCATGTTTCACTCCTGGGCAGCACCCGGCCTGGTACAAGCACCTCTTCCCTTGTTTGAACTGGACTTCCTTCTCTTCACAACGCTACTTGACAAAAAAATTTCAATGGAAGAAGTTTCCTGAACATCTCCAATACTGTCCTCTTGGCTGGGGCTGCAACATGACAAGCAAGTCCCCACCCTCAAGACTATGAACAACAAAATGGCTTTTTCAAAGGGAAAAGAATAGCATGGATTACACGACTGACGCATGAAATAAAACTGGGTTACTCTATGGCACCAAGCAGTAATTACAACTTTTTTCAATTCACTCAGAGGCTTTAGAGGGTAATAAATTTAAGCCCCCCTCCCCCCTTAAAAAAAGACATCATATGATAGCAAAACCCAGAACACATGATTGTGAAATTAAAAACACAATATCCAGAAATCTCTGGGCAGGAATGAACCAATTATATTCTATTTTGATGGAAAAAAAAATCAGTAAGTGATCACTTGATTAGGCAAAAAGCCAGCCACCATGCCTGGCTGATTTTTGATGTTTCGTAGAGATGGGGCTTCCCTGGGTTGCCCAGGCTGGTCTTGAACTCCCAGGCTTCCTAGATTTGGCACAGGCTGGGGGTGTGGAGCAGAATCCCGTGCACTCCTGGTGTGACTGTTGTTCACCAGATGCCCAAGACGCAGGAAAGACGCACAGCAACGCTCCCTGCAGCCAGGGGCGAGCTTGGGTGGAAGGCTGTGTTCAGCTCAAATCCAGAGTATTTCAGTTCCCTAAAAGCAGTTACCCTTATCTGCCAAACAGGGCAGATGCCTGTCCCCTGCCACCTGGGCCTAGTGGGACCACGTGGTCTCCAGCTGCAGAGCGCCAGCCCCTGCTGCCGCGCACACTTACTTGGGGTCTCGCAGTCCACACAGTGGGAGTTCCCGCGCATGTTCCGGATCGACTGCAGGGCCATGGCCTCACTCTGGCTCGTCAGCCGGGACTGGTACGAAGGAAGACACAAACACAAGGTGTGAGCACCCCGGGAGAAACATACATGACTGGTAACGTCAGGGAAAGATCAAACAGACTGGGAACAAATGTAGGATGAGGGTAATTTCCAATCAGTCCTGTTCTGATGTCTTTGGGAAAGAATCAAACAGACTGGGAATAAATGTAGGATGAGGGTAATTTCCAATCAGTCCTGTTCTGACGTCTTTGGGAAAGAGCGTAACTGAAGGAGAAATTATCATGTGAGGGTCGTCACATTTTAGCACTCATCAGCTGAGATGCACTCTGCCAGAAATGAGCAAAGGGGAAAGTTCTGGATCATCTGTGAATCAACATCGACCATGATCACCTGGATAAGGTAACTGGGTAACCTTCTGGGCAGTAGCCACGTTACTTGGTATGAAGAATGAGAAAGAAAGAATATGTTTTTAAGGCCAGGGTCTTCATCAGCGCTGTAAGAGCTATCTCATGGTTCCTTGTCAGTAAACCCTATCCATACCACACGACACCCTGGGAGATGCACCTGTCATCTGAAGACTCTCAGTTGCCACAGTGACAAAGCCACTCGCCAGGGTGGGGGCAGGGAGAAACCTGAGTGTAGCTGGGGTTGTTATTCTTAACCTTACACTTGATGACTTATTTAGTATTATTATTTTTTAAGCCAGAATCTCTGTTGCTGAGGCAGGGGTGCAGCGGTACAATCATAGCTCACTGCAGCCTTGAACTCCTGGGCTCAAGTGATCCTTCTGCCTCCCAAAATGTTGAGATTATACGTGTGAGCCACTGTGCCTGGCTCTATGGTCTTCTTTAAAAAGGATTTAAAGGCCGGGTATGGTGGCTGACATCTGTAATCCAAGCACTTTGGGAGGCCGAGGCGGGTGGATCACAAGGTCAGGAGTTTGAGACCAGCCTGGCCAAGATGCTGAAACCCCGTCTCTACTAAAAATACAAAAATTAGCCGGGCACAGTGGCACATGCCTGTAGTTCCAGCTACTTGAGAGGCTGAGGCAGGAGAATCGCTTGAACCCGGGAGGTGGAGGTTGCAGTGAGCCGAGATTGCACCATTGTACTCCGGCCCGGGCGACAAAGTGAGACTCCGTCTCAAAAAAAAAAAAGTTAAAAACATACATGCTCATTGCAGCAAGTTCAGAAAATACAGAGAAGGGAAAAAGAACATAAAACTTTATAAACAATGATATGGCCATCTGCAGTTAAGCAGTATTAATAATTTGATATCTGTTCTTTTAGCTTGTTTAAGCACATCTACATATACACAGGTACTTTAAAAAGCCAGTATAGGCTGGGCGCAGTGGCTCACGCCTGTAACCCCAGCACTCTGGGAGGCCGAGGAGGGCAGATCAACTGAGGTGGAGAGTTCGAGACCAGCCTGGCCAACATGGAGAAACCCTGGCTCTACTAAAAATACAAAATTAGCTGTGCGTGGCTACAAGCTCCTGTAATCCCAGCTACTTGTGAGGCTGAGGCAGGAGAATCGCTTGAACTTGGGAGGTGGAGGATGCAGTGAGCCGAGACTGGGCCACTGCCCTCTAGCTTGGGTAACAAGAGCGAAATTCTGTCTCAAAAAAAAAAAAAAAAAAAAGCCAGCATAATACATATTGCTGCATTGAAACCTGCCCTTTCAGCCTAACGAAATCTGTTCATTGCTCAGTGCCGTCACACGGTCTCTGACATCACCATTTTAAACGGCTACATAGCATTCCACTTCGTGAAGACTTATCAAGTTCTCTCTGATGGACATTTAAGTGGCTTCCAATTTTTCTCTATCAAACAATGCTGCAAGAACATATAATGGCTACGTCTGGGTACGCATTCATGATTATTTGCTAAGAATGGGTTCCTGGAAGTAGGGGTTCTAAGTGAAAGGGTATGTACTGGATATGTAGCTTTTCCCCCATAGAGAGAGGGTCCTGCTCTGTTGCCCAGGCTGGGGTAATGCAATCATGGCTCATTGCAGCCTCCAACCCCTGGGCTAAAGTGGTCCTCCCGCCTCAGCCTCCTGAGTAACTGAAGCTACAGGTGTGAGCCATGTACCTTGCTATTTTAAATATTTTTGTAGAGACGGGGGTCTCCCTATGTTGTCCGGGCTGGTCTTGAACTTCTGGCCTCAAGTGATCCTCCCACCTTAGCCTCCCAAAGAACTGGGAGTACAGGCATGAACCATCATGTATGGCTGATATGTACAGTTTTTAAGGCTTATTTATTAAATATGCATTTAATATTACAGTTAAAGCAAAAATTGAATCAATTTCAAAGGACAGTTACAATAAGCTTGATTTTCGTGTAAGAATTCTTTATAAATTGAACCATCTCATGTCAGACTGATGTGAAATATATTACTTGCTGCATAATAAATTATAATGTACTAATTACTACTGTCTAGTTAGCATCACACATTATTGAATTTTAATTCCCTTTGGTTAGATACCCAAGTATTCAAAATATGTTTAAACAGTTTATATTGGCATCTGGAATGCACATGTGTGAACACACACACACACACACACACACACACACACACACACACAAACAGGGATGTGCCTCTGTCTCTCTATGTGCCTGTATCATTTCTGTGGTCGGTTTGTCTGTCCAGCTGTAGCAGCTCTCAATTATCTGTATCTGCATCAGCTGTATCTAGCTGTATCAGCTCTCAATTATCCACTGGCAGGTAGAATACTATAAAGCTGGTGGTCAATTGGGCCTGTGTTTTTGCCCTCCTGCCACTCATTGTGGAGAGTATTTCCATGTTTCACACCCTCACACCTATTCAGCCAATGCCCACAATGACCAGGTGTGAATCTGCCACCTTTGGCTGCTCAACGCATCCTCCTCCCAGGAGAAGCAGCTCCCTGGAGCACCTGCACCTACTGAGAGCCAAGGGCGGCATTCTAAGGCTGGCATGTGCCTCGGCTGAGATGCGAGTCGGGAGAAGCCTGGCAAGGTGTGGAAGGGCAAGGCTGCCGCCATCCCAGAGCTTCCTGAATTAGGTGGAGGTGGCATGGGTTCAGAGTCTGCAGTGAGAGACTCTGATTCCCCCATGAAGTCAGGACATGTGACTCTCTGCTGAGTAACACATCCTGTCCCACGCCTGCCTTCTCAGAAAGAGCTGCTCACGCCTGAAGGATGCCACATGCTATTGCTCCCTGTCGCGGCGGCCCCAAAGCACCCTGTGCTCATTTCAGGAGGCACACCGTGGATGACGCAGACGTGACCCGGCAAAGCCAGGGTGTCCGGAATGAAAGGCAGTGGTTCTCCCCACCTTAGGTATAAAACATCTTTTCAAAAGGGAAGCAAATTACATTATAATAATAATGACTGTGGTCTGGTTTACCCTGGTTAAAGACGGTAATAAAATAAGACACTCTATCTTTCTGAAAGACAGACTCTCTTTTTAGTGACAAAGCTGCACATAAATCATTGGCAGAAATTTCTTTAAATGGTGACAAATGAAACTGCAGATTAGTGGGCAACACCGTTTCTCTGAGTTTCTAGTTGATCCTGGTTTGAAGTATCAGAATGCTTTCTAAAAGTCTAAAACGTCCCAGCAAAGAGGTTAACGACAACCAAACATTAAAATAATGAAATTGAAGCAATCCTTGATGGGAAAAAGGGCTTCTGTAAAAGGAATATCACTAGGCAGTAGCCTAGAGAATACAGGTGAAGCCAGGCGCAGAGGCTCGTGCCTGTAATCCCAGCACTCTGGGTGTCTGAGGCAGGTTGATCACTTGAGCCCAGAAGTTTAAGACCAGCCTGAGCAACATGATAAAACCCCACCTCTGCAAAGAATCTATATTAAATAAATACATATGTAAATAAATAAGTAAGCCAGGAATGGCGGCATGTGCCTGTAGTCCTGGCTCCTCAGGAGGCTGAGGTAGGAGGATTGCCTGAGTTTGGAGGTTGCAGTGAGCTCAGATTCTGCCACTGTGCTCCAGCCTAGGTGACAAGAGAGAGCTCTCTCAGAAAACAAACAAGCAAACAAAAAAAAAAACAAAAAAAATAGGTGAAAAAAATTTCTTTTTTACAGGTGAAAATCTTTATTTTTCCTAGCTAAATAACTACAAAAAATTATCTTTAATTTTTTTTTTCAATACAGAAAAATTCTGGGATGGCATTTTCTGGTCAAAACCAGAAAACCTGCTAGACAAATTCTAAAAAAGCTGCAATACCACCTCTAATTACTGAATAAAACATACGCCAGGCTTTATAAGTTTAGATAACAGAAAATTTTATCTTCCCAAACTCCCTGCATGCTCATGTAGACCCATCTACTTTTCATTTATGCTCCTAACAAGAGACGGTTTTCCAGCCTGATGTCGATTTGAATTCTGGGCATTTATGAGATCAGAACAGTGCATCTTTGAAGTCCGTATCCCTTTTTCTGAGTGTATTCTGTCCAAAACAAAAACAAATGTGGACCTAGAAGCCACAAGAGTCTAAAAGATTCCCTCTGGGACTGGCTGAGAGAGTGAGGATTTAACGCCGGCGATTCTGCCAGGGAGCATGGTCAGGCTGGGACACTGATGTGTGATGGCACCGACACGATGTGTTTCTTATCTTTTTAGTTATTGAGCTTCCTGCTTATGAAGAATGGTTAGGTCCTGCCATCTGCACCTGTCATGTGTTTCCCCTCCCTGGGACATTACTCGGGTTGTATTCCCTCTGAGTAGCCGCATTCCCCCCGAGCAGCTGCAGCCTTGGTTTTGGGCAGCCTGGGGCCTCACCTTGTTCTTGCTGCTCTCGCACGACTGCAGGCTGGCCAGGATCTGGCTCTCGATGGCTTGGACCCAGGCGTCCCGCTCCTCATACGTCGTGGCTTCAAAGTGCCACGTTTGGCCAGTGAGGGACACAATGATAAACTCAAAGTTTTCTTCTTGTTCTGAAACACAGAGTGTGGGATGAAGAGTTTAGCTTCTATGAGACAGCAGCCCCCCTGCTGGCCCTCTGTCACAGAAATGCCTCTGGGTTCAGCTGCCCCTGAGCAGGCCGGTGGTACACACAGCACGGGACAGCCAAGGCGGCAGAGATCTGAACCCAGGCATCTCCCAATAATCCAGATGTGGTTCCTAAGGCCAGCATGACTTAGCTAGGTTTCGATCAAGGTTCAGGGGACAAGGCCAGATGAAATCAACGAGTGATGTCAGCATTTCTGTGTGTTGCACACACAAAGGACTTAGGAGAATAACTGTGTAACTCATGGCTGACCATCCTTATCTGTGGGACGCTGAAAATTAAGTTAGGGCCGCTAATCTCAGGAGGCAGAGTTTATTTCTATCTAAGCACTCGCACAGATCCACAGACACTCCACGGAAAGAGGAACGCAGGAAGGTTTCTGCTCTTTTACCGCAGAGGACCTGTTATAGTGGGAGAGAGATGAATCCCCACTGTTTTCAGATGGGGTGAGTGCACGGGACCCTGCACACCTCAGGAGGACCTCAGCTAAGACTTACAGGCTCCAGACTTGGTAGACACTCTGGGGCTGGGTCTGGAACTTGGGGACACACCCTGCAACCCCATCTGCCACATCTGAGTCTGTGGGCAAGTTCCTTGACTCTTCCAAGGTTCATTTGTTCCCAACCCATAAAATAAAGGAAAAGGGTACCGACTGCCTAGTGCTTTCCTGCTAGTTCCCTGAAGTGTACAGACCCTTGTGGACTTGGGGCCTGGCCCATGGAAGATACTCCACAGATCCATGTCGGCCTTTGTTATTCCTATCCCCACTTCCGGCCCCCAGGTCGTTGCCAAAGGAGGAGGCACCACTTGCAGAAAAGCATAACTAATTGCAGACAACCATGAAGACATTTTTTGAGAAGGGGGGCTCACTTTGTTGTCCAAGCTGGAGTGCAGTGGTGCAATCACAGCTCACTACACCCTCCACCTTCCAGGCTCCAGTGAGCCTCCTGCCTCCGCCTGCTGAGTAGCTCGGACTACAGGTGCATACCATCACAACCGGCCAAGTTTTACATTTTTTGTAGAGATGGTGTCTCCCTAGGATGGTCTCGAACTCCAGATCTCAAGCAATCTTCACTCCTTGGCCTCCCAAAGTGCTGGGTGACAACTGTGAGCCACTGCACCTGGCCCTCATTAAGAAATCACCTGGGATTTTAGACAAAATACCTCCTTTGACTCGGTGTTTCCAGGCCCTGGCCTGTGAACTAGCTGCATGATTATCCCCTGGCGAGCCACTGTTATTGGGACTGATTTTCATCTACCTGCATGCTGACCACTTTACTATCTCCATCACCAGCCCGTGGCCATTCGCCTGGCTCACGTCAACTGTCCAGACCTCTATCTGCCAGGTTCTTGGTCCCTCCAGCCCGGCTTCCAAGCACTGCTTACCGCCCGTGCCTAGGTCGGCTCTCTCGGGCCCTTCCTCATGACGCACCTGCAGCCTGGGACATGAGGACATGCCACCCCACTCATCCTTTCCCCACTCCTTTCTGGCTGTGTGGATATGCAGCCTGCTTTGTGGCTGAGAGAGATCCCTTCCACCTGAGCACCCCACTGATCATGCCAAGCCCCACTCCTAGGCGAGTGGGGCCAGCACCCAGCCAGAGAGGGCCCATGGCCTCCACCAACCCCTCAAAGGTCTGTGACTCCCCGAGATGCTAACAGCCATTGTGCCGCAGGCATATTCTGGGGGCTGCAGGAAAGTGCTGTGATGCTGGGGCTGAGTGGAGGTCGGGCCTGGGCCTGAGGCCCCGGCTGGTTAGCCTCCTTTGGGGTGTTGGCACTGAGGCCAACCCCGTGAAAAGGACTGATCCGGGCTGGAGTGGGAGGGGAGAGAAAAGTCTTCGGAGGAAGTCCTTGGCTGGCCCACATGGTACGTGGGTGTCCTTCATGCTCTTAGTCACCGTGGTTGCTGATTCCTGGAGGGCTGGTGACAAGAGGTCAGGAGGTGAGGGTCTGGTTGCTCAGGGATTTTATCTCCATCTCCTGGGCTCTTGAATTTGGAGAACAAATGATCCCCCCACCCGCCTGTGTCTTTAGGCAGAAGCAAAACACTCCACCTGCTGTGGAAAGCGGGCTTGGGGAGAAGGTGGGGGCTGGGGTGTCTGCCTGTAATACCTTCAGTAATGACCTTAGACACTCAGGGACTTGGAGTTTTCATTAAAAAAGCAACAACACTGTAACTAACTTTCACACAGGTTTCACCATGGCTGACTTACAATGATACCGTGCAATTATTGGCTGAGGCGCTACATCTGTGAATCTTAAAAGGTCCGGCTTCTTGATCCACGGGCTTTTACATCCTAGTACTATGAATTACAACCTGTTCCACACAGATTCTCGTAAGACAATGCCCCCATTCATGTATTTTATGCAAAACTCTCCTAGTGAATGGATAGGTAAGGCAGGAAAAAACTACGTGACTCACAGATCATAAGGAAAACTTGGTAATTCATGGGTGGGATGTGACAGTTTTTGATTAAGAGATCAACTCAACAGGCTTACACTATTTTAATCTGTGAAATTCAAATGCACATATCAAAGCTCCCTCTGATCAGCATTTATTGGATCTTCCAGCGAAAAAAATTGCAACCCTTAGCTTCCCAGTTAAATTTCTGCACAACTGGTCCCCCGTAAAGCTTTCCTGTTCAAATGTTTGGCTCTAGCCAGTCATGAACTACACTCATTGGGAGTAGGGCCAACAGCTGAACTTGCACTGCACTGCATGGGTGCAGGGCTTGGTCACTGTGGTCTTCTGCTGCCCTCCCCGACATGCTAGGCAATGGGGTGGAAGGGATTCCAGCATGCGGGAGAAGCCGGTGCCCTCTAACTCTATGTGATCAGGACAGGTATGCACACAAGGAGGTGAGTCAACACAAAATGATAAACAACAGAAATCTGAATGAAGTTCCACAGGAACGTCTCTACCTTTTGCCTCATCCCAGCACAGTAGCCACTATCTGGCATCTTTAAATGGCTAAAGTGTAGTTTGGCTCTGCCTGATTAATTATGTAAACAAAATTCACCTGTGCATGCAAACCCTACTTAGAAGACCAAACACATGCAAGTGTTCACAGGAACATCAGAACCCGTTTCTAGCTAATTTTCAAATGTGCTCCCTACAGCAGCCGTTCTATGGCTTCATCACTCTATTTATTTATTTTTTGAGACGGGAGTTTCGCTCTTGCCGCCCAGGCTGGAGTGCAGTGGCACAAATCTCAGCTCATTGTAACCTCCGCCTCCCAGGTTTGAGCGATTCTTCTGAACAGGCTCCCAAGTAGCTGGAATTACAGGAATGTGCCACCACACGGGGCTAATTTTGTATTTTTAGTAGAGACTGGATTTTACCATGTTGGCCAGGCTGGTCTTGAACTCCTGACCTTAGGTGATCTGCCCACTTTGGCCTCCCAAAGGGCTGGGATTACAGGCATCAGCCACCGTGCCTGGCCCATCACTCACTTTAAAAATCCATCCCACCACCTATCTTCTCCTTATACTGGACACACGTAAGTTCCCTTTTCTAGTATGTTCTATGTCACGAAACATTTCTGTCTCAGTTCCTGGTCCATTCCTCCCCTTTCTCTCTGCTTCCTTTCCCTGGTCCCCTCACACCTTTTGTGGACCTGGATTTGGCATGATTTCCTCACTCTCTTGCAAACTGGACGTCCCCCTTCTACAGACCACCTGCCCTCCCTTTCCTGATCTCACTCCATCCTTGAGAGATCACCTCTTTCTTCATCCTTAACTCGTACAATCTGCAAAGCAGAAACATGCATGTGTGCATCCAGCTCTTTGCCACCCTTTCTTTTCTAATAATGCTCCCCTATCATCTCCCTGACTGAAACCTCACTCCAGGATTACAAATCAAGGAACAGCCAACGGGCATGGGCTGTGTTCAGTCTTCTTTCTCACTGACACTCCTTTTTCTGGAGTTCCTGACATTGCTGATGGGCACAACCATATTGTAATATTTGCCCCCTGGGTCTTCTGAGATGCTTGATCACCCTGAAGACTCACCCAGATGTGAGCAAGGTATTCATCAGGGTGAATGAAAGAGATGTGGATAGTTAGATGGATTCACAACTCACTGGAAGAGTCCCTCCAAAGGGGTACGAAGTGCTATAAACTAGAAGGAGGCCTGCAGTGGTCAATCATGGAACTTTTACCTCTGGCTTGCCTTGTTCAGTATTCAAAGTTTTATCAATGACTTGGATAAAGACACACAAAGTCTGCTTACCAACTTTTGAAAGGGAGGAGTTTTGGGGGGACAGCAGATAAACCAGGGTTTTATCCCCATCCCCAGCTTCTAAAAGAGAAGGATCTCTGAGCTGAAATGACAACTCAACTGGTGAAATGCATCATGCATGATTAGAATTCCTTCCCTTGGACCCCAACAGCAAGTGAGGTTTGGGGGAGATTTTGCTTCCCATCGGCAAATATGAAAAGACAGAAGGACTGCAGTCAACAGCAAGCTGGGAGTGAGGTTGCCAGTGAAAGTGAAGGCTGGGGGCGTGTCATCCGCAATAGCGGGGAGGTGCTCCTGTCTCCATCCCTCAGGGTATGGCCAGCAGGCAGCACAGAGAGAGCCCAATGCCAGGGACTGCTCACTGGGGACTCTGAGCACTGCAGACTTCTGTCTGATGGAAGAGGGATGACACCTGTTCCAGACGCCCTGGAGTCAACCCAGGACAGAAAAAAATGATGGAGACCCTGTAAGTAGAAGATTCTGTCCCCTCATAATCATCTGTAGATGAAGCTTGTGGGTTCTGCTCCCTTGGGGGTTTCAGGTCCTTGAATGTGGCCCTTTCAGAGGGAGACTCGTGGGAATTCAGCATTCCACAGGTGGTTGGGAGTGTGCTTGCAACTCTGAGATCCTATGGAGAGTGTGTTCTCAGGGTAGGCCGCTTTGAGCAGCTGCAGAGAATTCTG